ATGCTGCTGCCGTTGCAGGTCGCTGAAAGAGGATGACTTCTTCCCTTACGCCGACGGCCCCCACATGTTCTGGACCGGTTACTTTTCCAGCCGGCCTGCCCTCAAACGCTATGAGCGTCTCAGCTACAACTTCCTGCAGGTAGGTGGGCGCCAGGCTCAAGGGGGTGGCTCAGGGGTCCTGACAGACCTGGTGCCCCAACATACCCCCTGCTCTACAGGTGTGCAACCAGCTGGAGGCGCTGGCAGGTCCGGCAGCCAACGTGGGACCCTACGGTTCCGGAGACAGTGCACCCCTCAGTAGGTGTCCAGCGGGTGAGGGGACGGGGGCGAGGCTGAAGCTGGACTCCAGACCTCCACTGCCCCCTCGAGTCCCTTCTTTTTTTTTTTTTTTCGAGTCCCTTCTTAAAGCCCCTAAGAACCCAGCCTGCCAGCACATGACTTTTCACGTCTCCTTGGGGTCGGGGGCCGAGAGTCCTGCGGAGACCCCACCCGGCTCACCATCTGCCTGCAGATGAGGCGATGGCCGTCCTCCAGCACCACGATGCGGTCAGCGGCACCTCCCGCCAGCACGTGGCCAATGACTACGCTCGCCAACTTGCCGAAGGCTGGGGGCCCTGCGAGGTGCGGGGGCGGAGCCTGGGAGAGGCGGAGACAGGAAGGGGCAGGCCCTAGAGCAGAAGGGGCGGGGCCAGTACGGGCGTGGTCAAAAACAGCGGAGTGGTGTCTGGAAGGGCTCGTGGGGCGGGGCTTGTGGAAGGAGGGGCGGGTCCTGGGATGGGAGGGGCGGAGAAGGCAGGGGCGAGGCTGGGGGCGGGGCGGCGAGGAGGAGACGCGCTTGGAGGCCGGAGCATACCTTTCACTTTACGCGCCTCCCCAGGTTCTCTTGAGCAATGCGCTGGCGCGGCTCAGTGGCTCCAAGGAGGACTTCATGTTCTGTCGCAAGCTCAACATCAGCGTTTGTCCGCTCACCCAGACCTCAGAGAGCGTGAGGCGGCCTGGACGGGGAGGGGCGGGGCCGGGGGACCGTCCCGTGGGTGGTGGGTGGGACGGCAGCGCGGAAAGGAGGCGGGGCTGATGGGCTCTCGAGGCCTCAGCGGGTTGCTAATCACTCTGGGGCGAGATCACTGGGGGCTCAGTGAAGCTGCGGCAGGACGGAGACCAGTGCACCACTTGGGGGTTTGAATCACCCAGGGACGTTGCTGCACATGGTGAGTGGGTTTGCAGAAGGCGTATTGTGACCCATGCCTGCTCTGATCCTCCCACCCCAGTTCCAGGTGACCATTTATAACCCCTTGGGGCGGAAGGTGGATTGGATGGTGCGGCTGCCTGTCAGCAAACACGTTTTTCTCGTGAGGGACCCCAGTGGCACAGTTGTGCCCAGCGATGTAAGGCCACTCGACAAATATTTTTCCCTGAATACCACAACCCATGAATACCTAACCCCTTGGAAACCTCCCGCCATGGGCATTTCTCCCTTCGCCCCATGGACACTTCCCCCAGGTTTATTTCCCTCCGTGGATCTCTCCTTCCATGGATACCTCCCTCTCTTGGATACCTCCCCCTCCATGGATACCTTCTGCCCATTACTGTCTCTTCTTCTGAATATCTTCCCCCTCTACCCCTTAATATCACACCCCCTTGGGAACATTACCCCCTCTCATGAGTATCTTCCCCCCCCTTTTTAAAAATGTATTTTATTTATTTATTTTTGGCTGCGTTGGGTCTTTGTTGCTGCACGTGGGCTTTCTCTAGTTGCGGCGAGCGGGGGCTATTCTTTGTTGTGGTGTGGGGGCTTCTCATTGTGGTGGTTTCTCGTTGCGGAGCACAGGCTCTAGGCGCGTGGGCTAAAGTAGTTGTGGCACGCGGGCTCAGTAGTTGTGGCACACGGGCTTAGTTGCTCCGCAGCATGTGGGATCTTCCCGGACCAGGGCTTGAACCCGTGTCCCCTGCATTGGCAGGCAGATTCTTAACCACTGCGCCACCAGGGAAGCCCTCTTCCCCTTTTAAATATCTCCCCGTGAAAAAATTTCCTGTTTATGAATATTCCCCTCATCCTGGAAGGCCTCTTCCCACTAACCTCTTCCTCCCCCAAGAATCTGTCTTTCCCTCCCTCCCCTGTGTCAAGGATCTCTTCCTGAATTTACTCCCTCACTTCTCCCACTTCCCACAGTAGCTCCACCCTCCTAGTGGATTTTTCCCACCTTATGAATCTTTGCAATCGTTTTTTTTTTTGGCCATGCAGCTTGCAGGATCTTCGTTCCCCAATCACAGATCGAACCCATGTGCCCTCTGCAGTGGAAGCACAGAGTCCTAACCACTAGACTGCCAGGAAATTCCCTCTTTGCAATCTTTAACTCAGCATTTCTGACACTCGCATCCCTTCTGCCCAACTCCTAAATTTCCTCTCCCCATCCTGAAACTCTTTCCCTTCCTCAAGTTTGACCCCTCCCTGTATGTGTGGTGTGGCTTTGTATGTGTACTCGACAGCTTCTTGACTTGGTTTCCATCCTCCCTTACCCGAGGTGGTGATGATTCCCAGCTCAGACAGTCAAGAGCTGCTTTTCTCAGCCTCAGTGCCTGCCTTGGGCTTCAGCATCTACTCAGTAACCCAGGTGCCTGGCCAAAGCCCCCAGGCCCACATCCACCATCCCAGATCCCAGAAGCCCTGGTCTCGTGTCTTGGTCATCCAGAATGAGGTGAGACCCTATTCATATCCCCTTCCATTCCTGGGTGACAGATTTGAGATGTGGCAGTAAGCCACATGGACCCTGGGTCAGTGGGTCTTAGGTTCATGGTCTAGCATCATCAGCCCCCCATTGTGTGTCCTCAAGTGAGTGACCGTCTTCCTTTGAGCCTCAGTGTCCTCTCCTGGGGCTGTTATGAGGACCCAATGTAATCATGGGTGACACTTGACAGAAATGTCAGAGCTGATGGAGGTAGGGTTTTGCAAATTAAGTGAGGCATGTCAGAGACTTGGGGGAGGGAGCTGTGTGGCCATTTGGGGGAAGAGGGATCCAGTCAGGTAGGGAGCAGCAGACACAAAAGCCCTCAAGTAGGCAGGTGTTGGGTGTTCAAAGAACACTCAGTGTGGCTGAAACAGGGTGTTGGGGTGGAGGTGATAGGTCAGATCATGTGAGCCTTAAGGGAAGGCTGAGGGGAGGACTCTGGCTTTTACTGTGAAGGAACCATGGGAGAAACAGGGTTGCATTAAGACTCTTGTGGGTCCTAGCACTTTGGCCTTTGTGGGTCCCTCCTTCCATAAAAATATGTTAATTATATTTCATGATAGTATGGATATTAACATGAATATTAACCATGCAGAATTCAATATAATATATTCATTATTATTTCATTCAGGTTTTCTTCTGAACCTAAAAGAAATAGAGATTTATACCTTTCCATGGGCCCTAAAAATCTTGTGGGTCCTGGCACTGTGGTTCCTCTGTCAGTTGCATAAGCAGCCTGGGTCCCGAGCAGATGGGCTGTGATCTCACTTCTGGTGTTACAGGCACCTTTTGGCAGTTATGGGGGGAAAAGACTGGGGAGCGAGCATGGAAGGTGGGAGATCAGGAAGGGGTTGGCTGCAGCCCAGGAATGCCATTGAGGTGGTGAGAAGTGGTCAGATTGAGGGTAAGGTAGAAAGTGGAGCTGTTCAGATTTGCTAAAAGAGTCAGAGGTGAGGAGTGAGAGAGAGAGAGGAGGGAAGGGTGGGTGATTCCAGGGTTTCCTCCTGAGCCCCAGGAAGGATGAAGCTGCCGTTGGCTGGAGCGATGGTCATTAATGTCTGTCCACCCATTTCTCCCCAGTACATCCGGGCTAGGTTTGACCCTGACTCAGGGCTCTTGATGGAGTTGGAGAACCTGGACCAGAACCTCCGGCTGCCTGTTCGCCAAGCCTTCTACTGGTGAGGGAGGACCACCAGGTCAGGGAACAGGTGTGAGCAGAGCTGGGGTCCCTTGCCTGACTCTCACCTGCCCTGGCCCCAGGTACAACGCCAGTACAGGCAACAGTCTAAGCTCCCAGGTCTCAGGTGCCTACATCTTCAGACCCAACCGACAGCAACCACTGCTTGTGAGCCACTGGGCTCAAACCCACCTTGTGAAGGTAAGGGGTTAAGACTGATGAGTGGGCACTTGGGGATGGGGCATGTGAGGGGTGTGTGTGTGGAGGGTGGTGTGCCACGTGTGCAGTGAGGGGAGGATTTACATCTCCAACAAATAAGAAGGCTAAGACCCGAGGGGAATACTTGAGGATCCTCCCACAGGGTTGATATTCATGGCTGGTTGTGTGACAGTCACGCCATGGAAGCACATAGAAAGGCATTCACATCTGTTGTGAATGTCAAGATTATACTTAGCTTTTGAAATTGGAGGTGGGATGCTCCCATTTGGCCAACAGATAGGGAGAGCCAGGGGTAACTGCTTGCAGATTTCACCAAGGATCTGTGGTAGGAGGGGATTTTATCTGGGGTGGACATTTAAAGGTTCACACTTGGATAGGGCTTGGGTGATTCTAACTTAGGGTGGATATTTGAGGGTGCATCTGGCTGGGAACAGGGGCTCAGGCTTGTGGGGTTTCCTGGGGCCTCTCGTTGACGTTTCCTCTTAGGGTGGGAATGGGGCAGGTAACGGAAAGCCTCACATTTGACATGATTCTCCTTGAGGTGAACACCTGCATACCTGGGTCACTGTATGAGGATATAGTTTTGCTTCCTGTAACAGGGTTACCCAAATTAACCATGCCTAAAACAAGATGGAAGTTTCTTTCCATCTAACGGAAAGTCCGGGCAGGTGGGATGGTTCAGTAGTCATCTAGTCTTCTATCGTTTTTTATTTTTTAATTTTTAAAAAATTTTGGCTGCTTTGGGTCTTCATTGCTGCGTGCGGGCTTTTTCTCTAGTTGCGGGGGGGGGCTACTCTTCATTACGGCGCGCAGGCTTCTCATTGTGGCGGCTTCTCTTGTTGTGGAGCATGGACTCTAGGCGCGCGGGCTTCAGTAGTTGTGGCACTCGGGCTCAGTAGTTGTGGCTTGCGGGCTCTAGAACACAGGCTCAGTAGTTGTGGCACACGGGCTTAGTTGCTCTGCGGCATGTGGGATCTTCCTGGACCGGGGCTCGAACCCATGTCCCCTGAATTGGCAGGCAGATTCTTAACCACTGTGCCACCAGGGAAGCCCTAGTCTTCTATTTTATTGCTCTACCCTCCTTAGCATTCAGCTTCCACCTCATGGCCCAAGATGGCTGCTCAAGCTCCAGCCATCACATTTGCATTTGAGCCAGTGGAAGAGGGAAAGGGGCAAGGAACATTGTTCACACCACTTTGACAGAGCCAAACATGGTCACGCAGCTACTCAGAACCTCAGGGAAGACGAAACAGTACAGTCTATTCCCAGTAGCCATGTGCTAAGCTAGAATCCTGTTCTAAGGAGGGGAGATAGGGTAATGATGGGCAGCAAGCATGTATGCCAAACTCAAAATTTACATGGCTATGACTGCGGTACAAAGTGTGGGCATCACACCTAGGCAGGTGGGGGAGGTGGGTGGGGCTCCCAAGCTATCAGTGGGGTTGACCCTGATGTAGGCCTTTATGAGCTTCACAGCAGGGGTGGACATTTGCAGGGCTTACCTCTGCTCAGCTGCACGCTTACACCTGCCCTTCACCCCCATGTGCTTGCAGACAGCCTTGGTGCAGGAAGTGCACCAGAACTTCTCAGCCTGGTGTTCCCAGGTGGTTCGTCTGTACCCGGGACAGCGGCACCTGGAGCTGGAGTGGACGGTGGGGCCAATACCTGTGGGGTGAGTGGTGGAGGCTGGGAGTGGGGGCTGAGTGAAGGGCAGACTGGAGTTAAAGTGAGGCTCACCACCTTGCCATCCCATTGGGTATAGTGATGGCTGGGGGAAGGAGGTCATCAGTCGCTTTGACACTGTGCTGGAGACAGACGGACTCTTCTACACTGACAGCAATGGCCGGGAGATCCTGGAGAGGAGGTGGGGTGATTGGGGGCACTGAGGGGTGGTCTGTGGTCTTTTGGGGCCCAGGGCCAGTGGGGGCACCTGCTGATCCTAATGAGTGTGGGAGGGAGAGGGTGAAGGGGGAGTGAGGAGTGGGTGAGCGGGGAAGGGGAGCCAGACCCCGGGCCTGATCAAATCCCACCCCACCCCAGGCGGGATTATCGACTCACCTGGAAGCTGAACCAGACTGAGCCAGTGGCGGGAAACTACTATCCAGTTAACAGTCGCATTTACATCACGGTACCCATCCCCCATCCTGCTCCCCACATCTTCCTGACACCCCTTTACAGAGCAGGGGTTATCTCTCATTCTTAACATCTCCCAACGGTTCTCAGCAGTCTCCACCATCCTTGTGGGGCCTGCCTGGGGGCCAGGGCTGGCCGGCAGTGCAGCCCCTCACTCACCCCTTGCCCCCCAGGATGGGAACATGCAGCTGACTGTGTTGACTGACCGCTCCCAGGGGGGCAGTAGCCTGAGTGATGGCTCCTTAGAGCTCATGGTGAGTGGTCCGAGCCACATCTAAATCAGGGTCCTCCTACCAGTTCCCTCCCTGGCCCCCTGCAGGACCTTGAAGCCAGTTTCTGTTGCTAGGTGCACCCCTCCGTTTGTGGTCCCCGCTAAGCGGAGCCCTCCATTCCTATGTGAGACGTTTACTCCGTGCTTTTATCCAACCCTTACCCAAGCCTCCCCTCCAGGCCCTGATTTGCCCTATCCACGCCCCCATTAGATCCTTACCTCCCGCTGTCCTAGTACCTTGTTAGGTCGGATCCCCACTTCTACTGGGGACCCCCTGCCAGACATTCGTCCTCATCCGTTCCACCCCAATCTTCAATTTTTCTTGAAATTCCCACATGCTTTTGCCCAATTTCTGGCCCAGAAATTGGCTAGAAGGACCCTCACCCTCTCCTGGCCACTCTCCCCGCAGGTGCACAGAAGGCTGCTGAGAGACGATGCACGCGGAGTAGGGGAGCCGTTGCTGGAGGAGGGGTCGGGGCTTTGGGTGCGAGGGCGCCACCTCGTGCTGCTGGAGAAGGCCCGGAACGCGGCCGCCGGGCACCGATTACAGGCGGAGAAGGAGGTCCTGGCCCCGCAGGTGGTGCTGGCCCGAGGTGGCGGCGCCCCCTACCGCCTCGAGGTCGCCCCTCGCACGCAGGTGAGGGGCGGTGGGGCCGGCAGAAAGAGGACCCGAAGGAAGCCTGCGGGGGAGGGGCGGGGTTGAGGGCGGATTTACCTAGGCTTAACTGGGACCCACCTCGCCTGCCCCTACCCGTCCTGGGGAGGACGTATGCTAGTCCAGTCCCCTTAGCTCAGCCCCGTCACCCCGGCAGCCTCAGCCCGGCCCTCTCGTCTACTCACCTCCTCCAGCCGTGTCTCTCCACTCTTCCTCCCCGTCCTAACTCAGTCTCAGACCAAATCCTTTGTGCCCCCAACCTGACACCGCCCCGTTCCCTCATTGGCTCAGTCCTGGGTGAGCCCCGCCACTCCCCGGTAAGCCTCGCCCCCTCACCGCGGCCTAGGCCAGTCCCTCCACGCCGGGTCTCCGCCTCCTGACCGCCATTCAGTCCCGCCCCTCGTGGCTCAGCCCCGCGCCACTCTCCCGCAGTTTTCGGGGCTGCGGCGAGAGCTGCCGCCTTCCGTGCATCTACTAACGTTAGCCCGCTGGGGACCGGAGACGCTGCTGCTGCGCTTAGAGCACCAGTTCGCCGTAGGGGAGGACTCGGGCCGCAACCTGAGCTCACCGGTGACCTTGGACTTGACGGTGAGGAGGGCAGAGGTGGGAAGGAGACAGGAGAGAGGCGGGAGGGGAAACCCCAGCTTTGTCCCAACACAGCCCGGCCCATCCACTGCCCGCAGGACCTGTTCTCCGCCTTCACCATCACCGACCTGCGGGAGACCACGCTGGCGGCCAACCAGCTCCGGGCCCACGCCTCCAGGCTCCAGTGGACACCAAACACGGGTGGGGGCCTGCCCGGAGCTGGGGGCCGGGTGGGAGGTGTGGGAATGTTGACCAGGTCCAGGTATAGAGCTCGAGGGCCTGAGTCGGTCGGTGTTCAGATCTAGGTTAGGGGTTTAAGGGACTGAGGTGGGTCCAGCAAATTAGTGGTAGTTCTTGAGGGTTTGAGAATGGAGTGCAGTCCCAAGAACAAGATTTGAGAATCTCCGTCGGTGTCTAGTTCCAGAGGCAGGCGTTGGCTTGACGGTCCTTGGGGTGGGGCTTGTGGGTGTGAGGATGGTGACCAGACACTGGGGAGGGATTTGGGGATCTGGGGGTGGTATCTAGGCCCTGGGAAGCAGTTGAAGGGTCTGCGAGTGAGGCCCTGGGGGCGGATTTAAGGTGGTATGTCTGTGTTCAGGACAGGGAGCACAGGGGTGGTGTGGGGTGGCATATGGGTGTTAAGGCAAAGGAAGTCTACGTCCCTCACTCCTTCTCCCCTCCACCTCCAGGCCCCACACCCCATCCTTCTCCTTCCCGGCTGCTCTCCACCACCATCACGCTACAGCCCATGGAAATCCGTACCTTCTTGGCCTCAGTCCAATGGGAAGAGGACAGCTAGACCTGGTGGAGGCAAGATTCCCCCAGAGCCTGAGCCGGGTCCTCCAGGGGCGGGGCAAACTCTCCCCCTTCTCTTGCTGCTGCCGCTACCACCAAGGAAAGCCATTAAAATGCCACTACCAAGAAAAGACTCAGGTCAAGGTGTAACTGAGCGTGGGTTTTTTTTTTTTTTTTTTTGAAGGCAGTGGAATTTATGACCCAGAAAGGTCAGCAAACCCTTGACCCAAGGCCTTGCAGGAAGACCACTTGCTGGTTTGAATCCTCTCACCAGAGTCTACACGATTCACACCCCACCTCACCTACCACTCTGTCCTCCACTCCTGCTTCACTCCTCCGTCCACTAGGGCTGTGACACAGCTGTATTTTTGTTTTGTTTGTTTTGTTTTTTGCCGTGCCCTGCGGCTTGTGAGATCTTAGTTCCCAGACCAGGGATTGAACCCGGGGCCACGGTAGTGAAAGCGCCGGGTCCTAACCACTGGACCGCCAGGGAAGTCCCTGACACAGCTGTTTTGAGAAGCCACTAAGGGCAGGCTTGTGCTGGCTTGTCCTGGGTCCTGGAAGCCAGACATACCCCAGGGCCTCCCATACTCTACTTTGGGGCCCTGAAGGTGGGGAATCTGGGACGTCTTGGGGTGGAGGAAGACTTAGAGGCAGGTCCCAAAGTGGGGCCTTGGACAGGTGGGCTGGAGCTTTGGGCCTCCCAGGAGACAGGTAGAGAGCCTGGTATACCGTGGTTCTGGTGTGTTCTGGAGTCTGTTACAGAGAAAGGAGACCTTGGGATGAAACCTGAGGTTTAGAGTTGAAAGGAAGTAACTTGCCCTCAGTTGATACAGTCTTGTGTGGTTCCCTTGAAGGCGTCTGGAGTCTGGGAGGGCATGTCAAGCCCACCTGTAGGCCATGTAGAGAACAGTGTTTGGATGCTCGGGCCCCTGATTCTCAGATGTGCCTCCAGAAAATATTTCTACATCCCCCTTGGTGGGAGAACAGGCATGAGCCTGGGCTGGCTTGGACACAACCCCCGGGCAGAACACAGATGGGGTCTAGGTGGCAGATGTGCCTCTTGAAAAGTTTTCTAAGTCTCCCCCTAGAGAGGTAGACCAGAGAGGCCCAAGGAGGGCACCGTAGTCTATTTGCCATCCTGCATGGGGTCCAATCACCCATGCTGTGTGGCTTACAGGATCTTAGTTCTCCTGACCAGGGACTGAACCTGGGGCCATGGCAGTGAATGTGCCAAGTCCTAACCACTGCACCACCAGGGAACTACCATCCCCAGACTTTTAAAAATTTTATTCCAGAAGGGGAAGGCAGCAGAGCTGACTAGGATAGTCTGGGTCATGTGCCCCAGGGCTGCCTGCTGTCCTGCATCGTGTCCTGTCGTAGGAAGTGCCCACCAAAACTGCTTGTAAATATTCCTCTGGTGGCAGGAATCAGGCTGGGCCAGGCAGTGTGCCCCAGGAGTGGCATCTCGTGTCCGGTCATCCATGTGCCTTCTGAAAATGTATCCAAATCCAGGGCATTATCCCAGGAGACCCATGGAGGTTGCCCTGGGTCCTCCCTCAGTTGTGCGTGGAGCCCTATCACCGACGCATCCTGTAAACCTCTCTAAGGTGTCCTTGGTAGTGGGCACAGGCACAGCCTAGCCAGAAAGACTCAGGGTGGGTGCCTGAGCCAGCCTGCGGTTCTGCACAGGTCCTGGTATCGGACCCATGGCACCTGGTGGTGCCTCCTGAAAACACCCACATCCCCATTCAAAGAGGCAATGACCTGGGCTGGACCTACTGGCCCATTGTGTGTGCCACGGGCTCAGGTGCTATCACTCTTTGGTCATGGTCATTGAGAGCCCCTCCTGAAAAGTTTATGTGACCTTTTGTGGAGGGGAGGACTGGTCTGGGCTGGAGATGGAGGCCCGAGGGCATGGCAACCCACTTACTATCCAGTGTGGGTCCCTGTTGGCAGAAACATGCCCCTAATACATTTCTAAGTCCTGATCCAGTGTGGACAGGCTCCGGGATAGTCAGGGAGTTCTGTGTGGGGACCTTAGCATGCCAGTGGTCTTGTGTGGCATGACTGAAAACATGTCTAGTCCCCTCTGGTGGTGTAGACAGGACTGGATGGACCAGTGTGTCCTGGGGAGTGTGACCGTCTGGCTGTCATTGTGTTGTGCCCAGATCATTGCATTCTTCTGTCCTGAGCAGGGGCACAGGTCCAGGCTGGCAGAGAGGCTGGGTCAGGGCACACTGGCCCATAGTGGTCCTGCTTGGGTGCCAACTTTTAAGATCACCTTCTGAAAAGATCTCTACGTCCTTTTCACTAGGCTAGGGCCAACCCAGGCTGGGTGGGAATGCCCATGGCCTGTCTGGGGCCTGGATTGAGGATGTGCCTGGGCCAACCAGGGAGGGTGTCCCAGGTGCACCCAATGACCCACTTAAGGCCTGGTCACTGGAGACAATCCCTAAAAACATAAGTCCCCTTTAGAATACTGGACCAGCTGTGCCAGCCATGGAGGCTGAGGGGGGCGGCTAGAGGCCTGCTATATGGTCCTGCTTAAGGGTCCCATTTTCAGAGGTTCCCCCTTTGTTGGTGGGAACTAGTTGGAGCCAGGAAGTCAGCCAAGGGGACAGGTACCCAGACATGACTGTGGTCATGTGTTGGCATCGTGCCTCTCAAAAGAGTTTCCAAGTCCCCCTCTGGATGAGGACCACTGGTCTGGGCTTAGAGGGCTCCCCACTTCTACCTGCAGACACCTGTGTGGTCCAGTTGGTGGATGTGCTTCTCCGCCCCTTCATTTTTCTAAATCTCTCTTTGGAGGAGACACCTGGTCCTAGCCATCCAGGGAGGCCCCAGGGAGGATGTTCTGGGCCTAGCCATAGTCACAGGTGGGCCCTATTCATCACATATGCTTCTGGAAAATGTTTCCAACTCCTCCTCTGCAGAGAGGCAGTGACCAGGAGGGTAAAGGACCACTTCCGAGGTTGTCCAGGGCTTGGGGGAAGTCCCACGTGGGGAGGGGTCACCAGATGTGCTTCCCCCAAATATATATATATATATATATTTTTTTTTTTTTTTTTTTTTTTTT